CAGTGCTCAGCCTCTGGGCAGGGCGCTTTGGAAAGGAGAGACCCTTCCTCCCCCCAGCCCGCTCTCGGTAGCAATGACAGAAGGAGCCCAGGGGTCTCTGGTGGGACCAGGGGATGTGAACACGGTGTGGGTGCGAGGTGCTCCGAGCCCCAAACCCTCTCTCTACTCTCCCGAGAGGGCAGTAAAAGCCTCTCCCCTCCCCACGCCCCCGGCTCGCCTGTGGGCGTTCAGTCCCGGTGGCCTGCTCGGCCCTCGGCCTCTCCGCTCGGCTTGCCAATGCGGGGGCCCAAGGGCCGGGGAGCCTCAGCGGGACGTGGCTGAGACCCTCTCAACTCATCTCACCGACGCTCCCAGCCTGGGCTGCCGCGGGAGCACGGCTTTGGCTGGGCGGTTCTCCGCCTGCTGGCCCCAGCCCCGGCCTCCTCCTGCATTCCCCTTCTCTCGCTGGTAAAGGCAACGGGGTTTTCTAGGCGGTCGGATGCAGAGGCAGGGCACCTTCGCCCGGCTCTGGTGCCACTCAGAGGGGGGCGTCTCTTGCTGTCTTTTCCCGACGGCTTTTATTGCCGTGCGGTCATGGTAACATTGGCTGCTACAGAGCTCTGCCCCTTAGCGCTGGTTTACTGGCTGCGGGCGCGATGGCGGGGCCGCCGGCGAAGCGCTGCTGGGGTGGAAGTGTGGGCTGTGGGCTGTGTGTCAGCGGGCTCTGAAAAGCCTCCCATGGAGCCCATGCTGTTCCCTTCCTGTATCCACCCCCCTTCGTCAGGCTTTGAACCCCCGAGCCCTGCCCCTCCAAGGCACTGAGAGACAAGAGGTGCAGTCCCTCCCCCTCCTTGTGCAAAGCCACCCCCAGCCCCCACAAATCCCAGCAGGACTCACTGCAGACAGAGCCCCCCACGCCTCGGGCGGGGGGGGACACCTCTCCCCCAGGGCAATGGTGCGAGAAACGTGGGTGTAACCGGCACCAGCATTTCCACCGTCGTCTGACTCTTCAGAGCGGCTCGGGGCGCCGGGGTGGTAGAAATGCGGGTGCGTTTACACTAGCTCCCGCTCTGTCAGCGGCACTGGCTTGAGCGCAACGAGGTGAGGTTTCCCCGCTGGACAAGGTCCTTTGTGCTGTAACTCCTGCCTCCCCGGGGCAGAAACGGGGGAAGGAGAAGCAGGTAATTGCACCAGAGAGAGGCCCGGATGATGGATGAAGCCAGGGCTACACAAGACAATCTGAGCTCGAGGGGCTGTCCCTGAGTGTTAAATTGCAGCACTCTTTGCCTGGCAGGGCTGGGGGGAGGGGGGGAGGTGCAGTGCGGGAGAGGGGGCTCTGCAGATGTTTATTTAATCATGGCAGGGGGGATAAATAGCGGCTGTAATAGCTACGGGGACTCATCACCGGCCGCAGCGCTGCAGCCCCCATCCATCTCCATGTGTCTAGGAATTAATTTCCAGGAGCTGCCTTTATTCCTCTGCAGCCGGTCTAGCTCAGCTCCCCACCTCTGGCTGATGACGGCCTAGCCCTGCCTATGTGCCCCTCGCATCCGGCTGGGACGGGGAGGGCCGGTTTGCCCTTGGGGGAGGGCTGGGAGGAGGTGGCGTGGCACACCTGGATCCCAAAGCTACACCAGTGTCCTGGGCAGAGAGGGGACCAGGCTCGGGCGTCATGGCTGCAAAGGGGATTCTTTCTCAAGGCTGCTGGACACAGATCCACCCTGGGGTCCTCCCGGACTCAGCGGCTCCCTTGTGCTGCCCAGTGTCTACAGCTCATGGGCCCAGGGGAGCTCTGTCCTGGCATCAGCTGCCGCGGCCCCCAGCACGGGGGATGTTGGCTCCCTGCCCGAGACCCATGGCTACCGGGGGATAGTCACTCCCCTGACATGGCCCAGCACGGCACTGTCCCTTGCTTTCTTCCTTCCTTCCAACAAATACTAGACTGGGCCCCTTGGGAGGCCGTGTCCCCCTGCTAGGTCTGAGACACCCCCTCCCCCCCCCACGCATCTCTGGTCATGGAGAGGCCGATCCTGGAACTGGACGTGTAACCAGTCCCTCCTTGCTGCGCTCACGGTTCATGCCATGGTGGCAACGGCAGGGTCCCATGGCGGGGACCCCTCCCACCAGTTACAGGCATGATCTACGGAGGGGCTGAGCACCTGTGGTTCCCCCAGAAGCCAATGGGAGCTGTGGGTGCCAGGCCTTATGGGCTTAGGACCTGCCCACTGTGCGTGGCTGATGCTCCGGGCCCAGCCTGGCCAGTCTTGGGCCTGGTGCCCTGCACCTCTTGGTGGGGGTGGGGGAAGCTCCATCCCTTTAACCCGGCTCCTTCTCTTCCCCCTCCAGGCAAAGTCTACTTCCTGAAGACCTACCGCAAGCTGAGCTACCCCGAGGCCCTCCAGGCCTGCAAGAAGAACGGTGCCAAGGTGGCCAAGGTGGGCCAGCTCTACGCTGCCTGGAAGACCCAGCTGCTGGACAAATGTGAGGCGGGCTGGGTGGAGGATGGCAGCATTCGCTATCCCATCGTCAACCCCCGGGCACGCTGCGGGGGCCAGGAGCCCGGCGTCCGCAACTTGGGCTTCCCGGACAAGAAGTACAAGCTCTTCGGGGTCTACTGCTACAAGAAGGCCAGTGAGGGGTCCGCCAAGAAGGCCAGCGAGGGGTCCCCCAAGAAGGGCAGCGAGGGGTCCCCCAAGAAGGGCAGGGAGGAGCCGGGCAAGGGGAGGCCTCTCCAGGGGTAAGAGGTAGCCGCGGTTGCTCTGCTGGGGACAGAACCATCAGACGTGCAACCATCAGACAAACGCCGCAGCTGGAGAGCTGCTACCATAGTAACCTTCCCCCCCCCCCAGCCATCCCTTCTCACCTGGAGCCGGCTGTGAGCCAGGACCGTGGTCCTGGCCGCTGAGCCCCAGGGATCTGGCATTTCTTGGTAACAGAATCACAGGAAATAGAAGGGAACCCCCCCACCCCTTATCCCTTTCCATAGCAGGTGGGGCCGGCCCCACGGCATGGCAGGCTGGGGCGGGGGGCTGTGGTAGAGGGGGAAGGGGGCTGGAGGGGGACCATGCCAGCTTCAATTCACTTGCTTTCTCCTGCAAACGGACATCCAGCCTGTGCACTCGTAGGGGCCGCTCCTGCCAGGCTGTGATGCAGCCGCTGCCCCCCCTCGCTAACCCAACCTCCGGATTCCTTCTTGGCTTCACGTTGCTGCGGCTAGTGCTTGGAATCGAGTGTTTAGGCCTTTCTCTGCTTGCCGAGGGGGCAGGGCTGGGCCCAGGCTCCCCCATGCCAATGCCACGCTCCTGTCCGGGGCTGGGGGCTGTTCAGATGTGCTGCACACCAGCAGCGCTAGGGTGGGTCCTGCTGAACCGGACAGGCCTTGCGCCCTGCTTCTCTGATGACTGTGGAGGATGGAAGCTCAGAGGGGGCGGAGGCTCAGAAGATTAACGCCTGGGTCCAGCTGAGAGCCCTGGACGGGGAGCGGGTGGATGAGCGCAAAGGGTCTGCTGGGGATGGCACCGCCCGGTGGAGTTTACGGCCCATTCCCTCCCCGCCCATTCCTGTCAGTGCTTCAGCTAACGGCACCGGAGCAAAATCAACAGCTTCCCCTTGCTGCCCTCAGCACTGGTCATGCTGACCAAGCTCCCTAAGGGACCAGACGCCACATACCCAGCACCACATTCAATGCAAAGCCTTTGAAATAAGCAGGGTTAGGCCTATGCTCCCTGAATCTACCCTCTGTAAGAGGCCAGGAAAGCAGGCACACCGAGAGCTGGTCTCTCTAACTGAAGCTTTTGTATTGCAAAACCCCTCTGAGGTCTGTATAAAACATCTGGCTGAATAATCCCATCTGCGGAGGTTCGTTTAATATTGTAACAAATCCATAGCCGTGTAGGGACTCTGCCATGCTCAGCTAGCTAATCCAACTTTACAGTGACAACGGGGACAGAACTCCGACCCTCCCACTTCTAAAACACTTTGGGGTGAAGGAGATTCCCCATTAGCTCTATACAGTACAGGGCATATGGTACTGAGTGGCACAGCTCAGATTCCATCCAGTGGGTGGCAGTGGTGCCACACCCACAGCAGCCTGCTCATTGCGATAGTTAGGGTGAATCGCCTTGCTTCTCCCCGCCACTGAGCACATGAAGCTAGGCACTATGGGAGAGCAGGAATCCGGCAAATCGGGCCTGGTTAAGCGCAAACAGGCACTGACCACTGCAGTATGAAATTGGGCTGCGGGCGCTTCGCCGTGAGGGGCAGTGTTTGTGGGTCCCCCAGGGCTGATGCTTGCTGCTGTCCCTTAAACAAGCAAAGCACAGGTGGGGGGTTTTCCCCCTCCCGGGCAAAGAAAAAGGTGACTGGTCAGTCCCCTCAGCCACCACTGAAATCAACACCATGCAGGATGGACTCAGAAATGGGAGAGAAATCTAGTGAGGGGGCGGAGCCAGAGAAAGGGGCGGGGACAGGGAAAGGGGGCGGGGATTTGGCATCCCCCTGACCTGCAGATGCGCGCTGCCTCCCAGGACAGGGCAAGTGCCAGGGGTTGGACTCAGTCACCCTGGCGGCTCGTAGTGTGTTTCCCTGCTCGAGACGCAGAGCCCGTCCCGGTGGCTGGGACCATCTCGCCTCCCCCAAGGCATGCAGTCCATGTGCCGTCTCCTGCTCTCGCTACAACGCTGCATCGCTCAGAGGCGCCGTGCGTGACTTCGTTTTCAGCTGCATGCATGGCCGGGCGAGGGACACCGCCAGTGACGGGAGGGAGGCCCTGGTCCCTCTGCTCTGAGTTTAGCAGCAGAGCTGACCAAGGTCTCAGTTCCCCCGACTTAGGGCCAGACTGCAACTGGGGACCGACCTGCAAGAGGCTCGCAGAGCCAGAGGTCACAGATGGGCTCCCCAGATCCGCTGGGGCCTCCCTTCTGGCCAGTGGGGGGTCGGTGGTGGTCGCTGAGCTCATGAAATAAAGGCTTGGCTGCTGATTGAGAATGAACTGTGGACTCACGTCTCTGTACCTGGCCCTCCAGCTCCTGGGCCTGTCTCCAGTCGAACTTCCTGGCTAATCGGAACAAGGCACATTGATGTGCACAGTGCTGCACGATGCGCAGGAGAAACAAACACGCAGCAGCTCTGGGGTGAAGCGCAGACATTGGCACCCAGCAATGGTGCAGGAAGGCAGGGAGGGGTCGAGAGCCAGTTCGAGCTGCAGGGGGAACGAGGGAGGGAGGCGGGACCCGCGCTCCTGCTGCTTTGGGGTCGCTCAGGAACACAAGGTATGGGGGCTGCTCCAGCAGCGCCCTGCCCCCCCACAGCCCGTTGCTCAGCGCCCGCTTGCGGGGGGGGGGCAAG